ATATTCGCAACTTCAAGAGCTGGGTCTCTTTTAACTACAGGTCATTCAGCAGGACTGAATCCTGTTTTGATGGTGTTAGCACAAAAGGGGCGTTCTGGGTTGTCCCGCAGACACAAAGAAGCAGGAACGAGAATGCTACAATCTTCCCTCCCACCTTAAAGCTGTCCAGCACAGACCCAAGGCATCACCTTTTGCTGGGGATAAAAGCCTAAATGCAGCAAGATTGGGCATTATTTTCTAACCCACATCCTTTTAAAAATATTTATGGCTTGTATTTTTTTCTCAACCATCACACTTTTTTCTCCTGAAGAATTTCTGCTATTATGAAGACTGGATGTCATAAACTGTAGGAAAAAACAAGTCCTCAAGAGCTTTCTCTTCATTTGCTGCTGCTGCTGCTTCTTATTTTTATTTTATTATTATTATTATTTTTATTATTATTAATTTTTCCCCTGTTAAAACACTGCAGAATGTCACCCTGCCTGATTGTTGAAAAAAAATCAACAATTTCCTAAGCCAGCTGAACAGACTGGAAAGAGGAGGGATAAAAAAAATGAAGCTCCTTGAAGTGAAAAAGATTTCTCAGCACACTTATGCAATAAAGATGGCGGTATTTGTACATATTTACCTCTTTCTTGTTATGCTGGACTTTAGAGGCCACTGATTTTTTAAAAAAACTTCCTAAATCTTTTTCTGTTTTTGCTAGAGTCTATAAAACAGGCATCCATAATATTTCAGTATGAGATTACCCATTCTGTATTCATTTGCTTCATCTATAATCGGAAGAGTTCATTAAAAAGTCCTGGGCACATAGTAGAGCCAAGATTGGTCCCACCCTTTCTAAACCAACGTATCCGTCCTCAGCATCTTTCCCCGGAAGTAGCAGATGTTCAAACAGCCATCTCTTATCCCTGGATTGCTCAGCAGTTGATTCACAACTGCACATGCCAAGTAACTCCGTTGATTAGCCCTCTCCATGAGATGGCATGATGAACCTTCTGCTCTATGGGAGTTGATCTGTGATGGCTCACACTTACATGTCAGTCCGTTAGCTGATGTTATAATTCACATGTGCTCTGTGCGTGTGTCTGTGTGTGTGAATTCTGCCACTGAGCTGACTCCTGGGGTATGGTTTTGCTTAGGAGTGTAGCCTCCAGGTTTAACAGCCTCTGTGGCTGGAAGGGAACTTTAATGCTTCAGAATGAAGGAGAGTGGCGAGGAAGAATTTCAAGAGACCCGAGAGTACTTCCTGTTTCCAAAATGAAGAGTCTCAGTCTGGCAAAAGTAATTTTAAACTAACTCCGTGGAGTTACGATACAGGGCCAGTGAGACTTAGTCATCGCTAAGTTGGGTTGGGCTGGGTAGAGGCCAACGTGGTTAGACAAACGGCCACCGTCAGGCATTCCAGAAATATGTAGGGAGTGAATGGAGCCAAAGAGCTCCTCCATGCATGTCAGGGAACCATTTTTAGAGATGGCATGAACTGATTCCAGAGGATTTTAGAAGGAAGTGAAACAGTGGGCGTACTTCTCCTGAAACCTCCCCAAGAAGCGCCAACCTTTGCACCTGTTTCGGTGATCAAAGCCAGAAGCGGCCGCTTCTTTGCTCTGTGTATGGCAGATGAGGCAGACTGCAGTAAAGGGGCAAGCATTTTGTGGGTCTAAATAACTAATGTGAGCTGGCAGTTCTGGCTTCTAAGTGTTACTTAAGATGGTTGAGAATCTACTGGAAACCATCTGTTCATACAATAGGGCATTTGGAAATAGCGTAGGAAGAATAGGTAGCCAACTCATACGCACACCCAGCACACTTCAAATACATACATACGTACATACCTACACCAGCCCATAGTCCTTTCACCCAAGCTGCACACACAGCCACGTAAGTAATATGTGTGCAAATATCATTGGACTTATGGCGGGCAGCTTGTGTCCTCTGTCCCCGTATAGCTGGTTGTAACTCCCCTCTGGCACAGGGCTTAATTGTCTTGGGCTGGAAAAGTTTGCGAATTAGGGTCCTCGAGAGCATGTTGAGGTCAGAACAAACTGAAACACCTGAGGTGTTTAAGATACTCAGCCGGCCAGGGATTTGTCGTACGTCCTAACGTAGGAGCAGAATCAAAGGATTCTGCGCCAGCAGCACTGGCCTCTAGGCCAGTGTTGTCCAAACTTGGCCACTTTAAGATGAGTGGACTTCAACTCCCAGAACTTCCCCAGCCAGCATGGCTGGCTGGGGA